AAAGGCAACAACGATCACCACAACCACTACCGAAATCATCCTCAAAGCAACAGCTACAGCCGAGATCAGTCACTAGAGCAGCAGCAGGAGCAAAAGTACGGCGAGGACCTATCCTCACCGACCAGCGGCGGCACTACCTCGCCGACTTCGAATCTTCTTCACCAGCAGCAGCTTTCCGCCTCGACGCTCGGCCTCTCACGGCTGCGGCGCAAGTCCGAGCCGATCATGTTCAGCTATGACTCGATCACCAATGAACTGTCCAAGTTCACCGCCCGCGAGGAGCAGATAGTGGAGAACATCAACCTCGACCTGGAGAAGATGCTCATGAGCGACACGGCCGGTGTCAATGGCGGCGGCGGAGGTGGGGGCGGAGGTGGGGGCAGCAGCGACTACGGAAGCACCTCTGCGAGCACCTCGGCGGCGCTGATGAGCCACCACCACCACCAGCACCAGCTCAGTCACCTGCAGGGCAACTCCCATCACCTGCCCTCTCACCACCACTCGACCTCCTCCAACTCGACGGCGGCGGACGCCTCGGCGTTGCGCCAGCAGTTGAAGCTGGCCGCTAATATGCAGCAATACTACCAACAAAGAGCGAAGCAGCAGCAGCAGCAAGGCTCTTCAGATGATCCGTACGGCCGAACCGTTGCCGGACCGATTTCCCTTTCACAGCAGCAGCAACAGCAGCAGCAAGGTCAGCTGGCCAACTACAAGGAGCCCTTCTACATGGTCTACGAGGACAGTCGAGGAATGATGGGGGGTAAGAACAACAACGGCGGCAGCCATCACCCGGGGGGCAATTACCACCACCCTCAGCACCATGGCTCCCAGCACCACCTGATTAGCGCTCATCCTTCAAACGCCTCACCTTCCAGTCCCGCCGGCCACCATGGCCACCACCACCTCAGTCAGCACAGCAGCCACTCGGCGGGCGGTCAGTCGTCCTCGACGGGACTGATTCACGACGACAACATCTACGAGGAGATTGACTTGAAGACGCTCACCTCGTTGCGCGCCCTGTACGCCGACACGCTCAGTCTGAATAGCTTCAACAACAAAAAGAAGGGCGGCGGCGGCGGAGGGGGTGGAAATGGCGGAAACAACAGCGGCGGAGGTGGCCACGGCAGCAAGCGCTCCCTCGCCTCGAGCAGCTTCACCCGGTGGTTNTCAACAACAAGAAGAAGGGCGGCGGCGGAGGGGGTGGAAATGGCGGAAACAACAGCGGCGGCGGGGGCGGCCACGGCAGCAAGCGCTCCCTCGCCTCGAGCAGCTTCACCCGGTGGTTCAGCACGCGCAAGAAGAACGACCCCTCGCCTTCGATGAGCGAGGACGAGTCCCCGTACATTGTCGACATCAAGATCGCCAAGAAGCAACGCCCGCCCATCACACTGCCCGAGCCGCCGCCGGAGCTGACCAAGGAGCAGCTCAAGCGGCGCTACATCATCGGCTCCATCGTCGACTCTGAGAACTCCTACATCGGCTCCCTCCAGCGGATCATCAACTGCTACAAGAAGCCGCTGGAGGAGAGCCACTCGCCGACGGTGCTGAGCGCCAACAAGATCAACGTCATCTTCCACCGGCTGGAGCAGATTCTCCAGTGCCACACCATCTTCGGCATCGCCCTCAGCCAGTGCGTGCGCGAGTGGGACGAGAAGGAGCAGATTGGCGACGTCTTCATCGCCTCCTTCAGCAAATCGATGGTGCTCGACATCTACTCGGACTTTATCAACAACTTCACCAACGCCATGGAGACGGCGAGGAAGGCGGCCAAGTCGAAGGTGAGCGCTGGGGGGGAAGGGGTTTTTAGTAAATCCCTTTTAACTTCTTTGTTTTGTTTTTTGTTGCAGTCCGCCTTTGCCACCTTCCTCCAGGAGCGCTCCCTCTCCAGCCCCGACCGCCTCAGCTTCTTCGGGCTGATGGTGAAACCGGTGCAGCGCTTTCCCCAGTTTATCCTCCTCCTCAGCGACCTGCTGAAGCACACGCCCGCCGACCACCACGACCGCATGTCGCTGCAGCTGGCCCTCACACAGCTCGAGTCGCTAGCGGACCGCCTCAACGAGCGGAAGAGGGACGCCGAGCGGCACTTTGCCGTGAAGCAGCTGCTGAAGGACTACCTGAGCAGCTCGACGACGAGCAGCTCGCACCGGTACCTCCTCCGCCAGGACGACATTCTCCAGCTGGACCTGGACACGGGCAGCGGCCTGGTGATGAAGACCAAATGTCGGAAGCTGTACCTGCTCAATGACATGCTCGTCTGCGTCAGCGTGCCCGCCAATCGGCTGAAGTTTGCGGTGTCGCTGGGGGACGTCGATGTGATGGACGACGTGACGCCCGCCACCAACAATCTCATTGCCAACTCGCAGCTCAAGAGTAAGGGTAAGAGTTTTTTTGCTTTAGAAAGCTCATGATTTGTAAAACTCATTTTCAATTTTCTTTTTTCAGACTCTTCAGTCAGTACAGCAGGCGGTGGTGGAGGGGGAAACAACAGCTCGGCGCTGTCCAGTCCGAAGCACTGCACCGTCGAGCGGATGTTCCTCGATCTGAACAGCCTCATCCACGACCTGGAGGTGGTGAAGCGAGTGGCGAACCTCCTTGGCTCGCTGCGCTACCAGTACAGCGGCCTCAGCATGGAGCTGGCGGAGGCGATTGGCGCCGAGATTCTCGAGGAGATTCGCCGCAAGGACGCCCAGATTAGCCTGATCGATCGCAGCTGTCTGCAGGTGCGCATTCGCTCCAAGAACTACAAGGACATCATCGTCATTCAGCTGGTCGACCCCGAGGTGAAGCGCGACTGGCTGACCGACGTCCGCCTCGCCAAGCTGGCCCTCGACCGGGCGAACAACCCCGCCTGGGACATTGTCAACGAGGGCCTGGTGCACCACAATGGCAGTGGTGGCGGGGGTGGATCGCTGTCCACCTCCAGGTCGAACCTGTCGACGACGACGACGGCCGTGGCCAATCACCACCACTCGATCATCATGCACCGCGTGCCCCTCTTCGTCAAGTCGCTGCCCATCTTTGCCACCACCGAGCACAGTCAGCTGACCTGTGCCCTGCACTACCGACTGAACCGAAGGGACGACCTTCTCTTCGGGTCTTCAGGTGATTCCAGCGGTCTGGCCACCGGCGTTCTCTGGATCTGCAACGTCAACGAAAACGGCTCTCAGCTGGGCGCCCTCTCCACCTCGGCCAGCGGCGCGGACATCAGCCTGATCCACTCCTATGAACTGTGTGACTCGCACGTGACCTGCATCGAGTCGGTGGGCACCTATGCGGTGTGGATCGGCCTCCGCCAGGGCCGCATCATCGTCATCGACGCCAGCTCTCCGGGCGAGTGGCAGCAGTTTGCCTCGCTGGAGGTCTCCGCCGAGGTCACTTGCATCCGCTACTGGGGCAGCCACGTCTATGTGGGCCTAGTGAGCGGCGAGGTGACGCTCTTCAATGCGACGCACTACGAGGAGCCGATTGTGGTGGCGCTCGCCCCCGGCGCCCCCGTCACCTGTCTGCTGCCCGTCAACGGGGAGATGTTTGCCTGCTGCGGCGAAAAGATCTGGATCATCAACGGCGCGGTGGCCGCACTCGATCGCAGCTACTCGCTCAGTGGCAGCTGTGTGAAGGTGGCGGCGGCTGCGGCCGGGTCGCCGACGACTGCTTCAAATACCGCTGGTGCAGCTCCGTCCTCCTCAAGCAATAGCAATGGCAATACGGGTGGTGGAGGGGAAGGAGAAGGAGTTTTGGCGACATCTCCTCAACCGACGACGTCCTCGACCGGAGCTCCGGGCATGAAGCCGTCAGCTTCCTTTGAGCTTCCGGAGATTGAGAGTGGCGTCTACCCGCCCCAGCGGCCGAACCTGCTCGCCCACTGCGGCATTGGCCTGTGGGTCAGCCTGCAGCACTCCTCCATCATCAAGCTCTACCACACGGAGACGTTCAAGCACCTGCAGGACGTGAACGTCGCCTCCAATGTGAAGCGCATCCTCGGCGAGAACTACCCCATGGACTACTCGGCGGCGAATGGCGGCGGCGGCGGCGTCGGGGGAGGCATCTTCGTGACGGCGATGCTCGCCACCCGGGGCCTCCTCTGGATCGGCACCAACGTGGGCGTCATTGTGACGCTCAATCTGCCGCGGCTGCAGGGCGTGCCGCTCATCTCCGGCTGTCTGAATGTGGCGCTGCACCGGCACACCGGCCCGGTGTCCATTCTCCTCAGTCTGAGCAGTCATACGAATCCGAACTCCTCAGAGATGGCTCCGGGCGGTGGCCATCACCTGAACCACCAGGGAAGTGCCCTCAACAACAACAGCAGCCTTCAGAGCTCAGCGCTGGGAGCGGGAGTGGCCGGAACTTCGGGCGGTGGAGGTGCTGCCGGTGGTGGTGCCTCGTCCTCTATGGACGGCTCTGGAAAGCCTGGCTCGGCCGCGGGCGAGCTGCTGCTGGAGACCTCCAGCGCCGCCGCCCTCACCGCCGCCTCGCAGGTGGTGAGCGAGCTGAAGAGCGAGGACGTGGAGTCCATCTACGGCCTCTACTCGGACCTGATGAACGTGGAGAACTACGTGAGGGGAGGCGGACAGGTGGAGGCGGGAGGAGGAGGAGGAGGAGGAGGCGGCAATAGTGGGCGAACCTCCTCCTCTCATCATCACAACAACAATCACCACCTGCAAAGTCAGTACGGCGTTCAGCAGGGAATGAGCACGACAGGTCGAATGACCTGGGAGCTGGCCAATCTGAACCTCTCTGACGGGGACTCCACCTCAGAGTCGGCCATCTACGGGGACGGCTCGGCAGCGGCGGCGGCGCACATTCGCCGAAAGCAGCAGCAACAACAGCAGCAGCAGCTGATGCGGAAAATGCCCGATCAAGCTGCTGCAAGTCAGCAGCTCAGTCCGGCGAAGAGTCAGAGCAGCATCTACGACTCGACGGCTGCCAGCTCCATTGCCGGCGAGAAGATAATTCCCGGTGGTGGCGGACAGCAGGAGAAGGAGAACATCAGCAGCTCGTCGGGCTTNATCACAACAACAATCACCACCTGCAAAGTCAGTACGGCGTTCAGCAGGGAATGAGCACGACAGGTCGAATGACCTGGGAGCTGGCCAATCTGAACCTCTCTGACGGGGACTCCACCTCAGAGTCGGCCATCTACGGGGACGGCTCGGCAGCGGCGGCGGCGCACATTCGCCGAAAGCAGCAGCAACAACAGCAGCAGCAGCTGATGCGGAAGATGCCCGATCAAGCAGCTGCAAGTCAGCAGCTCAGTCCGGCGAAGAGTCAGAGTAGCATCTACGACTCGACGGCTGCCAGCTCCATTGCCGGCGAGAAGATAATTCCCGGTGGTGGTGGTGGCGGACAGCAGGAGAAGGAGAACATCAGCAGCTCGTCGGGCTTTGGCGCCGGCAGCAGCAGCCTCTACGACATTGCGCCCTTCAGAGGAGGAGGTGGTGGTCCTGGAGGTGCCGGAGGTGGAGGAGGTCGTTTGGTGAGTCCTCAAGGTGGTGGTGGTGGTGGTGGAAGCTATCCGCCTCAGCCGCATCAGCAGAGGATCTACGACTCCAACAGTGGAGGCAGCAGGAGCGCCCCCGAGAAGACCGCCCTCCTCCTCACCGGCGGCAATGGCTACAAGCGCATCACCATCGGCGACACGCCCTACTCCAGTCAGCACGCCCATTGCTGCATTTGGGAGTACAAACTGTGATGAAGATGGAGACAGATGCTGTGGTGGTGGAATGGAGTTCATCAGAGTTCACACCTCTAACTTTTGTAGTATTTCACTTTTGCTTTTCACTCTTCAGTATTCTTCCCCTTCTACTTTGGCCACCACCACCGTCTCACACACC